CTGGAACAGCAGCCATGTGAACTTGCGGTGCAAAGGACCTAGAGCCAAGGACAGTGGAACGTTCTTAGAGAGAGAAAAGGGTGCTCAGAGGGAAGATCAGAAAGGACACAACACTTACCTCCTATAAGGACCCAGGGTATTAAAGAGTAGGTCATTTCTAAGTCTTACCTAGACACTCAGAGAAGAGTAGTTCTGTCTTGGATCCCAGCCACAATGTACAGGATATTCCCTTAAGATGGTCAGAAACTAAACCCCAGTCTTTGACAACCTCAGAGCCTGAAGTGTGGCTCATTCTTGGCCCACATCCATAGGAACCTCACTCGCCCATGCAGTTCTCATTGGTCAGGGAGCCAGCCAGGTTCCTTGCTGTTTTGGGTGAGGCAGGCCTAGTGTCTTCCTGCAGGGTCCTTGCCCTGTTCGATAGTGCAGTAACCTCCTTCTGTCCCATCCCACCCCACATAATTTTTGGGTGGACAGAAACCAACACCTCAACACAGGAACAATCAATCTTCAATCTGGCCAGTGATCTACAAAGCTGACAAAAAATAAAATATCTCATCTCAAAAGTCAATGTCTCTCTTGGATTGTCTGAATTTTAGATTAGCATGGAGATAAAGACAAGCTTGAGGGGGGCCAGGGTGATAGTGTGGTTCAAGCACAAGGACCTGAGTTCAATCCCCGGCACCACATGCCATGCCAGCTCTATGCCATGCTAGCTCTGCAACATGCCGGCCACCGAAACTGGGTGTGGCAGTGCATGCCTGTAATTCCAGCACTGCAGGGGCTGAGACAGAAGGATTACCATGAGTCTGAGCTGTGTAGCGAGACCCTGTACTCAATAAAAGAAATAAATAAACAAACAAATAAGTAATTAATTTATTTTTAAAGGTAAACCGGAGGAAACAGATAACAATGAGAAACTCCTAATGGGTATGCCAGTTTGGAAGGGCACACATACTTAGAGGAGACAATGTGTATGATGATTGAAACTCAACTAGGGGTTCTCCAAGAGCCAATACAGGTAGTAGAGAAATGTTCTGGAGGACAGGCTATGCATCACTCTGGGCACAGGGACAGGCACCTGCATGAGGACACATAGGGCTGAGACATCCCGCAACCTGATGGCTCCTTGAATCCTCTAAGGTTCAAATGTCAGTCTGTCAGAGTGAGGCTGTGCTACAGCGCTGGTCCTGGGACCCTGCCTGATCTCTAACTCCCATGTCTTGTTTCTCCTTCCAATCAGACATCACGGTTGCCTTGACAAAAATGAATGTCTTTCTTGCAAGGGAGGATCTCAGGAGGAAAGCCCCATGCCCTGAAGATGAGATTTCTGCTGGGTGCTATGTTTTTCTCAGCAATGCAAAGCTGTTTTTTGCTGGATAAAATCTTACAGGAAGGGCTTCAGTCATGCTTCCTTAGGAAAGGAAAAACCTCTGAGTCTTGAGAATAGGGATATCCTAACAGAAACAAAACAAAACAAAAAATTGTCAAGAAAATACCCCTTAGTCATTCTCCTTGCCTGAGGCCTGGGTGGTGAGCAGAGGTGAAGAGATAATGAGGGGGCTACACATAGCTAAAGAGGACTGTCTGAATCTGGAAAAGAAGCCTGTTCACCATATTGAAGATGCTATTTGTGAACTAAATGTCTGTTTCTTTTGAAACTTCTGTGGTAAAACCTAATCTCCCAAGGTGCTGGTATTCAGAGGCGAGGCACCAAGGACAGGTGGGTATGCCTGGAGCTTGATGTTGTGCATTTCCCCTGCCTAGAGGATGCTGACGCTCCTGGTCTGGGGCCATGTTTTTAGGGGGAACTGGCTATGAACCCTGCTATTTGATGGAGAAGATCTGCTTTCCCTGTAACATCACATCCCCAGAGCTCACTGAAGCACACATGTGAATTGTGGCCTCTGAAAGCTATTCTGTGTTCCTTGATAGGGCATATAAATTAATAAGCTCTTGATCACACTAGTAAAAAGGAAAATATTTGAAAACTTATCCCTGTATTCCAAACCATTAAGAATCTTATGTCAGCAACTTGGATTTTTCCTTTTAGCACATTTCCAGCTTTAGAGCTGGGAGGATGGGCAAGTCGCAGGCTGGGTAAGATTAGAGAGTGGTCAGAGGCAATTCTGTTGGCCTAGTTGTTTTCTGAATAAAACACTCCTCCATGGGGAAAGAGGACTCAGCATGGAGAAGAGTAACAGGACTGAATTCAGACTAGGAGTGTTGCACTTAAATCCTTTTCCCTTTTGCTCTCCAGTAGTTTTTATAAAATCCCTGGGGAAGGTGGTATGCCCATTATTATAGATGAACAGTCTTACTGGTTATTTAGAAAAAGAACTCTGAATGACTTGAGACCAGGTGCTTATGTTCTGTGACAGGCAATGGACTCTAAGGAGGGAAAACAGCCTTCTACCCTAGCTGTTGACTATAGACATATATGAAAGAAAGGATTCTTTCTGAGATATCAATAGCCCATTTACAGACTATGTCCCATGATAAAGGGTGTGACTTGAGGATGTCTAGGATTGGCTCAATCTCAGAGGGGACCAGGACATCTGTGATGATTTCCCAGTCAGTCATCACCCACTATCCCAAGTGCTACCTCCTTCTGTGATATAACTTGGGAAGAGGCACACAGCATAGACACGGTAGGGATTGTCAAAGGCTATACTAGTTCCTAAAGGTGATGAGTTTGGACTGGCTTAACAGCTGGTGGGCTGATCAAGAGGTGACCTCTGGCATGGGCATTGATACTGGGTACCTTGGAGATACAGAACTTTCTAGGACCAAACGCTATAAGAATCATATCTTTGACTTGAACTTCTCACAGTTTGTCTCTTTCTGGTTTGTCTGGAACTTTCTGGTTTTAAACACTGTGTTTTTGGAAACTTCCCAGTCTCTAGCAAACCAAGACGGTTTACCTTTTAGACATGTAAGATAAAGGTATGAAAAAATCATGTATGAAGATATGAAAGAGACAAAAACACCTAAGGAGATTGGAAGGTAGAATTTCCTTGTATACTGAAGAGGATTTAAGAATTGGGTTTCATTCATATGGACAATATAAATGCAGTTGTGCAGAAGAACTCAGTGTTAAGAAAAATTGGGAAACTTTCCCACAACCAGTCAGCTTACTCCAAGGAAGTGTTTTATTTTAATGATTTCATCGCCTCCCCTCCAACATCCCTGGAAACCTCAAAGATGAAGACAAAGAGGAAATGTTTGCTTTAGCTTGCATAATACACAAGAAGTGGGCCATCACCTTCAGTGTACTTCTGAAGATGATGTTGATGGAGAAATTGTGTCAGAAGCACCAGAGAATAAAGAGAAAACACTTTTGTTGCTCCTACTTCATCAGGTTGCAAAACTCAGAATCCATTTTTCTAAGACCAAAAGTGCAGAGAGAAACCAAATTCCAAACCTTCACTCGTATTTAAATTTGACATTCACCCTATCCCACAAAAGAGAAAATCTCGATGGAAGAAACTCACATTGGATTTGTTTCTTGTTTTGAACCCCTAAAGTAACAGGTACTAAAAGCCTAAGACTATCACACCATCATAAAGTTATAACAAGACTTCTTTTTAACTCTGACTTTGACATCCGTCTTAACCAAGCTGCATTAATTCATTGCCTAGGAGTTCTGCAAGCTTATGTTTATTTATAATATTCAATATTCCCATAAGCACAAATGTTCCAAATGGAAGGTTGCATTTTGATAATGCCCATTTCTTCATTAAGATTTTATTATCTACCTACATTAAAGCCTCTCCCTACACTTTGTTGCTTTCACCTTGTGTATTCCTGCTTTATTTGCTTAATCGTGAGCTCCCGGCTTCCTAGGCTTTCTCAAGTTTGAGACAAGCAAAGTTTGTGCATTAGCCTAACCCAGGCATGCATGATTCATGAATGGCGGGTTCCTTGGCACAACTTAATGCTATCAGAGAGAATTTGTTTTAAACATTAAAATGAAAGTTGAAAAGTGGCTACAATGGGAGAGTTATCAGAACACACAGAGTGTGGAGAAGTTCAAGTCCGGAGTTCACCAGTCCTGTAGAGGTCTGGAGCTGTCTGTGGCCAGATACTCTGACCACTGTGATCAAATACTGTGAATGGAATCCTCACATTTGGCCAACTAAAAAAGCATTCAAAATTGTTATGAACATGACTTACCCAACCAGTTCCTTATTCTGCAAAAAAGAAAAAATTGTTGACGTTCGTATAAATATAGAAAAGAAGCATGTTTGACTAGTCCAAAGCAATTCATTTCCTCTTTAGTGGACAACCTAATTCTATTCAGACAGTATTCTATCACAATAATTCTTTCTCTGACAGAATCATTTTGTGACTCAATCTATCAGTAAGTGTTACCAAGTCTTCATAGTCAAAACTTTCGTACTTTCAGGAGACCTACCCTTCCTGAGTAAAACCAGAGTCTTACTGCTGGCATATGCCCAGGGATTATAAAACCTCAGTATAAAAATAAATATTTTTATCATCGTAAAACATCAACCTAAGTAATTGAATTTTATTTGGTAATTATCCTAACATATACTTTGTGAACCACATATTTATTAATTATTCCAAATGCTGTCCTATATTTGAGGTGTTCCAACCACAGTCAAGTAACATATAACCTGTCTTTGCACATGACTAGATTGAAGAACTTGTGAGATAATAACTCAGATCTTCAAATAATAGCATAGCAATTCTGCAGGTAAGTGTCTAATGTGTCATGCAATGGTAACTCCCACAAACATCCAGAAGGCATGAAAGACTTCAATATCAGTGTTAGGAAATAAGGGTTCAGAAAGCCCATGACTTGAGGAAGCTTAGGATGCACAGATAGCTAAACACACTTCCTGCAGAAATCTTTTATATCCTTCATGGTGGAAGCAATTCTGAACCACATTTACCATCCAGGACAATTTTCTTGTGCACTTCTGAGCACTCTGGTCAGTGTGAAGACCCCTCCATCTATTGACGCAGTGGGTTACCTTGTAGATTTTGCAATGGAAGAGTCATAATGCCTCCAGCTGCAGCTGCTGCTACCAGTCCTTGGATGTTGGTAAGATTCGCTGTGGGCAGTGTGAGGACCAGACCCTGTTGGCCACCGAGCTGTCCAGCCATATTGAAGGGGATAAGGATGGGCTGGTTGAGGGTTGGGGGGCCTCCGGGCATCACGCCAGCCACAGCAGAGGCGAGCTGCTGGGCCGTCAGAAGTGGCTGCAACACACAAGAGAAACATCCCTCACTTTCCTGCGGGGCCAGGATCTGGACATGTTTAAAGCATGCTTTCCCTTTTACTGCAATTAGAAAGTTCCTCAAGAGGGAACAAAGAAACATGTCCCATCCCAGAAAAAGAGACAGCTTGATGCAAACAGTTTTTGCAATCACACATTTCAATTACTTCTTTGGAAAATTTCATTTGGTTTATACTGTACTGAGGCACTCAAATACCTTTAAAAACAATACCTGACACTTATGTATTATCTTTCCAATGCATTTTCATATAATCCTAATCCTCATGAGTGTGAAGTTGTCAGCTAATTTATTCTATGTTGCTCTAGAAAGAATGCATTGACATCACTGGGATTTTATTTATTTATTGGTTCAAATATAGCAAGAAAGCACTATTTTCAACTCTTTAGATAAATGAGAATAATGTCAAAGATTTCCTTGATGTTAGAAAGTCTGTAGTGACACCATTATGCAGATCTGGACCACAAGACATATACACTGGCACAGTCCTTTCAAAAAACAATTGAAACAATTTTGAAATATTTGTGTAAAGAGCTATACGTGTTTCTATCCCCAGCCAAGCTTAGTGGAGCATGTCTGAGAGGCTGAGGCAGGAGGATTGCAAATTTGAACACACTCTACCCTGGACAATTTAGTAGTCTAGGGAGACTTTGTCTCTAAATAAATAAGAAAAGATAGGTAGGTAGGTAGACAGACAGACAGACAGAAAGACAAACAGATGATAGAGCAAGAGTTGGGAAGGCAGGTCAGTGCAAAGACCCTGAGGATAATAACCAATATTGAAAGAAATATTCACCTCCTTTTGACTGAACAATGCTCTTGGGATATAGTTTAAAGATAGAATTCAAAAGTGAAAAAGAAAAGAAATAAGTGGAAATATGCATTACATTTTAAAAAGCATGTTGAAAGCCAGCTCGCTACAGGAGTGAACTTGATGAACCGTTATGTAGTCATAAAAGTGCATTATTATGACACCTCTTTAGGAAGAGAAAACATGTTTGTGACATAAGAATACATAAAAATGAACTGAATATTAAGCAAACAAATGGTTGCTATTCAAGTGGTAACATTACACATGGACAATGTCAAGATCTATAATCAAATGCAAAAATAAAGATGTTTATATTTTTTTTTAAATTTTATTTATTTATTTATTTGAGAGAGAGAGAGAGAGAGAGAGAGAGAGAGAGAGAGAGAGAGA